TTCAGTTCATTAATAACTACTGATCTTGACAAACAATCAGAGGAAACAGCTTTATCATCAAAGTGTTTCACATTCACTTTTTCATAATCACTATCAACTACTAATATTGACTTACTCGAAACCCTGATTGAAAATCACTGAATAGTTTATTTCTATCTACCTATAAACTCAACAAGTTGCATATACACCATTTTCTCCAAAATTTTGTCAATAGTGCAAAACAAATTTATTGGATGCAATTCAATGGAGGATTTTAATTTAACTACTTTGGGAATCGTGATTATAGTGGAAACTGAATGAATATCATTTGGCAGATCTGTTTTAACCACAGATTTACTATAATCATTCATTATATAGTTTGATAAGTTTGTGGGTTCAGTTAGCTACTTTCTTGGATTGGTTGGTCATCTGATTTTGCTTTATCATATTTATTAACCAGCAATCTTGGCAAACTGTCAAAGGAATCAGTTTCCTCACCAAAGTGTTATTCATTCACTTTTTCAAACATCATTAACTAACCACTGATATTGACAAACAGTCAGAAAAAATTGGCTCTATGACCATAAAAGTTAAACATTTACTTTTCAAGCTTATTAGTTACTACTGATTTTGACAAACAGTCGGAGAAATCAGCTTTTACAAATAAAGTGTTCTATTCACTTTTTCAAGCTTGTTAGTAATTACTGATCTCGACAAATAGTCAGAGGAATCAGCTTTATGACCATAAGTGTTCTGCATTTACTTTTTGAAGTTTATGATTAACTACTGTTCTTGACAAATAGTCAGAGGAATCAGCTTTATGACCATAAATGTTCTACATTTACTTTTTCAAGCTTATGATTAACTACAGTTCTTGACAAATAGTCAGTGGAATCAGCTTTATAAACCAAGTGTTCTACATTCACCTTTTTTTAGCTTATTATTAACTTCTGTTCTTGACAAATAGTCAGAGGAATCAGCTTTATGCAGATTAATAGGCTTGGAGGACAAAAACCAATTTGTTATGTCCACAATAATATCCCTAACTAGGACAAACTTATGATTATTCTACATCCCACACTTCATATTCATTTGGTTCATAACCAACCAGTACAGCTTTCCAGGATTTGATATCAAATTTTGTTTTCCTGGTTTTTATGTACTTATAAACGGTATTATGGAACCAAACACTTATGAATATTTTACTTGAGGCTTTTTACTACGCCACATTTCCTATGGTGTTTCAAATTCTTTTAAAGTTTTAGAGGGGTCAAACTAAGTTAAAACTGCCTCCAACTTTTTTTTTTTTTATATATACCTGCATCATTTAATTTCTGGGGTTTATGGAATTGTCAAATGATGACTTATCTTTTTGCATACCAAAAATCTCTCATTTCTGTAGCTAGATATTCACCTTCATTGTCACAGAATACATTGAAAATCTGTAAATTGAACTGTGCCCCACTTTCAGCAACTGAATCTTGAAACATACAAAATACATATGACTTTTGACTCATCAAATATGTTACACAATAGTAAGTAAATTCATGCACAAACAGTACCTATACAATGTTTTTGAAATGGAAGTCGCGCTTGTTTATGCACGCTCCACATAAATACTCATTGTATAACCTGATCGATTTGCGCCCTAAGTCTTCGATCTCTATTTTTTTTTTTTGTTATAATAATTTAAACCTCACCAATGTGGACCAATCGTTCAAACCACAATTGATAATTTTTATTTTCATTTAATCGTCACTATTTGCTTAAACAATAGTGTTTTTTTTTTAATTTCCAATAACAGTGAGTTCAAGAGCAATTATTATTAAAGTGTTGAAAGACTTACCCATAAATTATAAGCTTACCGCCTTTGTAAATACTACCACTTTTTTTTAAAGCAATATTCCTTTGCATTTTTCTTACGGACAGCAGATTGTAAGGAACCTCTGGACAGTCCAGCCTATACCAAAGACTTTCCTGTATGCCCATATTACTGGGAATACTAATTGTGCCCTTTTTGGTTGCTGTTATAAGAGTTCCATTTTTTTTTTTAATTGATGGAATTGTTTTTGTTTAACTTTTTTCATTGTGTTTCAGAGACTTGATTTTTTTTTTTGAAATTGCGTCTTTTAAAATCGGTTTTAAAATATTCTCAACGATAATTATTTCTAAATTGCTGAGCTCTGGTGTTCTTATCTAAGTTCAAGCTCTGTTAGCATGAAAGCCTTTTTGTTTCTTTTTGGTTTCAAATTTTCCATTGTCACTATCAGATTAAACACTCCCGGTTTTCACAACCGCAATGAATACACGTACACTGGTCCCATAACCTCTTGGGAAATGGACTAAGAAATAAAAGAACTCGTTAATTATCGATATTCAAAATATTTATTATATCGAACACAGAGTGGAAAGCAGAGCGTGTGAACTCGTAGAAATAACTGTACGAACTGACTCAACATCAAGACAAAGAATTATAAACCCTTTCTTAAGTAAACGATTCCTCATCTGTTTATCTTACATATAAAAACTATTATAATAAACGGAAACTTTGTTCCCGTTAAAAAATCCGTCATCCGTTGAAACTGTTTGTTTTCCGTTTCCACCAAAATCCATTAGATATGACGGGAAATCCGCTAAGTTGGCAACGCTGTTAGGAACGCGTGTTAACTTACTTACAACACAAAATATTTAAAAAAAAAAAAATTTGGCTAATTTTGGCCAAAAATTGGTCTCCTTCCTTTGGAAATACAGGCTGCCTACCAGGATCAAGGGGAAATAAGTTTCTTCTTTTCCGAGAAAGCGTTGATGGGTCAATCCCGAATTCTCGCGATGCTTCCCGAATCCCTGATCCGTTTTCGATGGCCCTTAATGCATTTTCGAAAGTTTCGTTGGAATAATTACGGTAGGTCCTACTCCCAACTTTTTTTTGTAATTGCGATGCATGTTGCAAGTTACCCACTTTTGTACATGCAATTTAAAAAAAAAATCTATTTACGAAAACCTTCAAATTTAACTCAAAACTAGATATTCAATGTTTTAGACTAAGCATTCAAGCACATCATATCCAAATTTGATACAAATCCTAGGGTAAATAAGCTCTGCACAGAAGTTATATTGCAACAATTTAGAGCAATTACCAGAGCTGTCAGAAAATGGCGCCAAATTTTTCGTGTTTAAAATTTTTCAACGCTAAACCTACTCACATTTCAACCTACTGATCCGTACTAAACGGCAGTGTTGTTGAACGTCAAAATACTAAATCGGGAGAAACTGGCATTGAATATCGGTAGATTACTGGGCAAAATCGGTAGGTATAACCAAGGGTATAACATAAAGACTAAAATCCAGCGTTGCCGTGTTTTGCACGATTTAATAAATACCTATTACATTATAACGGCCATTATCGAAAAATCGAATATATTTTATTTAAGAAAATACAAACCTCAATAGTCGATACAAACATAATAACCATTGAATTGAGCTAATCCATTCATGCGCGTCACTAATTAGAGACTTTTTTTTTTCTTACGGAATGTTTTGAAATGTTTTGAAACGTTTCAAAACACGGTTCAACAGAAAAAGACGATGACGAGTTATTTGGCCACTATTGATGGCCGTTTCATACAGTCCCCACACGTTCACATTGACATCGCGCCGGGTATACCCGAAAGAAATGCACTGATACCCAAAAATATAACACACTACATAGCCTCCATCCTCGTAAGGCTTGCGTGGAACAAAACTGAAGTCCCCCACCACGCCAAATCACCAGTTGTGAGGTAGCAGCATGTTCTTTCTCGGCTTGACGTAGGCTTTTTGCACCATAGGTTATGATTTCTCGGGCTTTTACTTCGTAGATCTCGTTTTCATCTTCCTTTTTGCCTATTATGTTAATCAAGATTAAATATTATTTTTCATCATAAATTTGAATTCTAAACTACGACCTCTTTACCTCTAGTGCAAACAGCTGACGTCGGCAATGGTGACACACCAATATGGCGGCGATTAGCAAAAACGAGGCCGATAAGCAATCCTTAGATTCTTTAGTAGTGTGTATTATCGTCGACTAATACCAACCTTGCTAAACTTGTCGTCAGAGGAACTATCTATGACATCTCGAAAGTTTTGACACGGACAAAAAATTGGCAAAAATCGGTAGAATCGTAATTATTGTCGAAAATCGGTAAAATTCATCACTATTCGGTATTTCGGTAGGTCCGTTGCCATTTCGGTAGAAATACCGAAATTTCGGTAGCTTCGACAAACACTGCTAACCGGTTACCGGATGCCTGGATTGACAGAGATGGTTGGAGATAGAACGTTATAAACCGATAATTATGTATATAAAAAAAAACCAAAAACCCCAATAATTGAAGAAACCTGATAAACCCCACTAGGTTTTATAACTGGGGAAAATTCTATGCTAACCCTGCCCTGTCTACTGATGTCTGATATTAACTGGTAATCTACTGACAAAACAAAATATGACGTGGCAAGACTGGTTGCGAGATAGTGGATACAACGATTCTGAACTCTCGCAAACAGAGACGTACCAACTATTTTTAGAGCATATTTTCATATGCGATTGCACACATGAGGGCCCCTAAGAAATAGGGACCTGGTAGGCATTTGCCGACCTAGCCAGTCCGCCACATTTATTATTACACCTCAACTTATGTAGGATGTGATAATAGGATTTACCAAAAGTAGATAGCAGTAAATGTTCCAGAGGGCTATCATATAACATTTCCTTAGAATGTCCATTTTTAGGAAAAGCCCTACGTTATCAAGAATGTCAGTTGACATTGTTAGTACCCAAACAGCCCTATGAAAATGTACCCTCGAGGATTTCAATTTCCATAGGTTTAGGTTAGGGTCGTTGAATAGGGCTTCTACAACCTGTAGGCCTGTAGAAATTTCTGAATTGGCAATATTGTTTGGCCTCTGTACTGGCCCAGGTCGAGATTGCGAAGTTAGCCCCCACAATACTAACAGGAACTACAAAATTAAAACACATAAAATATGAAATCATATTATCATGTATAATAAATAACATATAAAATACACATACAAAAAAGAAAAATTCAGTCCTTACTCCCACTAGTGTCCACACTAACAGGTGCGTTCCTCAAATGGTAATTCCTCAAAATACACAAATCCTTAGCCATATTAATCCTACCAGTAGTAGTATTGACATCATGCAAATGCAACAACATCGGATAACTAAACAAATCAGGCAAAGTCTTTAACAAATCCGAAATCAAAGTGGCCGGAATGTAGGCCAAAATAGCATTGGCCGACTGTATTTTGACTTCAACCAAAGACTTAATTAAATTGAAGATGAAATAAGTCTGAGGCGTGATTCCGCCTTCTTGCATCTTCTCAAACATTGACAATAGTTGTAATAGTGCATAGACTAATTGTTTTGCAGGAGTTTCAGGCATTTGTTGCTCTACACTATCAAATCTTGTCATTTTCATTGGCGGTTCCTCATCTCGTTCATCTACAACTGAATCCCAAGCAGTATAAAGGCAGTAACTGGTTAAGTAAGCCAATGAAGTCAGTTGAGGTTCCATTAATGTTTGTACATCAACGTATAAAAGTTGAGGCAAAATGTGTGACAATAGTTCTGTAGTGCAGGCTACAATATCTACATGAAATACTGCTAAGGCCAAATCTACACCTCTTTGTAGTTGATCTCTGAATCTCAACTTTAATAGTTCTTGTATGATGGCATTTACTAACCATCTAGGCCCTGCTGTGTCTAAGAGACAATGCAAAATTCTTGCAGAATTATGATCTAGCCAGCCTTTTGTTATACCACAAGTCCAAGTACCATGAAGCCATTCAGTTGCAGGTGATCTTGATACAAAATGATGGCTACTTTTAGTAGTGGGCAATTGAATGTCGCGTTGCATTTTTCTGATTATTTCACATGTCAATTGCCAACGGTCTCTTAAACTGTCTTCTTCAGTAGTTGTTGGGCTTGCTAGCAATTGTTGCACCATATTTATGGGTTTTAGAAGAGTCTCTTGTGGTGCAGTGCGCATATATGAACATAAATATGTAGCAGCTGCAATGGGTAAGCAACACATTTTACCTCTGACAGCGTCTAGGATTCTTTTAACATCTGACGCAACTAAAGCCCCTTGTTCCCATGCTACTAAAACCTCATGCATAACTCCAGGCATATTAAACAAAACATCTTTAAGCTTCATGTTTGGTTTAAAATCACTATCACCTGCATTGAATTGTTGTATCAGTGCTTCTACAATTGCAGGATCTGACATTGATAAAAGTTGCAAAGGGGCTTTAGGCTTATGTCTGTCAACTAAACAATCTACAACCCATTGGTCTACAAGTGACTCTCCATCACTGTCTAAAACAGCTGGGGCTCCATAATTTTGCACTATTGATATTAGCATCACAAAGCTTATATCAAAGAGTTGAATGCGGGCTTTGTCCTGCCCTAATTTAGAGCATTCATTAAATCTGATTAGGCGATTAACTAAAGCTTTTAATTGGCCAGAGCTACATGCAACAGCCAATATAAGCTCAAAGCTTTTACCAGTAAGTACTTGATGGAGCATGCCCAAAATAGCATCTTGAATCTTATGGTAATCAGTTGACAATGTTTTTAGGATACCAGACAATGTAGATTCGGCACAAATAATTACTTTGGGTATTCCAGTGCTAGGACTATTGTCTAGTTTCAGTGTTGTAGGTACTTTACGTTTTTCAAGCAAATTTTTAGCTTGTTGGTCACTTATTAGGCGGATTTTAGCCAACTCATCCAGCAAACACTTTAGGCTGGAACAAGAACTATTGGCATCCATTGCATCTAGTAAAGGACTGTGTTGCAAAAGCAACTCAATAGCGTTTACAACACTACTAGAACTTTCAGATTTTGATAGTTCTTGTAAAATGTGGGGCACTTTTAAAAAGGTGAACGCACCCCATTGGCTTTCATGAGGAGTTTGGTTGACATTATATAAAGCCAACAAACTACCTCTTATTAATTCAGCATAAAGCCTAGCATCGTTGAAGCCTTTTAGTCTTTGGAAAATTTGCAGTTGATCTGCTAAAGTTGAAGTGTCTGCTCCAGGGTTGCCAGTTAGTTTGACTTCTAGCCAACATTGTATTAAAGAACCTGGCCATTTTTCACTGTTGACTGCTAAACAAAGCATGTGTATGTCAATGTTTTCAAGCTTAGTAACTAATTTTAGTTCTTCATTTTCTAGGGTTGTTACAAGTTCTGTGCACTTGCTTTGGGTTTCTTGGAACAGCTCTGGGTCGTTGTATTTGGCCAAACAAATCATGCTAACATAGAAGTCGTCATTTAATAGTATTTTTAACAGTTCACTAGCTTTTTGTATTAAACCTTGACTGTCTTTGCATTGTTGTAAAATATTCAACAGCCAAACTGTTGTAGACAAAACAGCTGTTGCCAAAACAGTTTCTTCAGGTTTTCCAAAACATGTTACACCCGGTAACATGCCTTCTAGAAACTCCAAAAGACTCGTAACGCAATGGACTTTATTAAACTGGTTATATTTGCTTAAGCGTTGCAAAACTGCAGCATGTGATACTAGTTGGGCACTCAGTGAGTGTCTCAAATAGCTCAATACTAGCTGGTTGGCTCCCGCTCCTACTACAGCCTGTTGCAGGATACAGTCAGCCAAATTGTAAACGTCACCGCTGACCCCGCGAGGTAATACAGTTTTGATGTTGATGCCCCATTGCAAATCGGTCCAGCGCTCCCGCCAGGCCCTTAAAAGTAGGGCTTTTAGGGAGCTGGTTTTACTAGTCGTTTTAGATTCCATCACCATTTTGGCATGGCCTGGAATTTTTTATTTTATAATAAGGGCTTTGGGTATTTAGTTTAAAGTTAAGGGCTTACCTAGATAGGCTTGTTTTTGTTGTAGATGGTATATTCTATAATACACAATAACACTATTATTATTATTGTTTGTTTAATTGCTCTCCACCATTAGGCAAATCCAATGGGCAAATCTGTCAAAAAGAAAAATTCAATATGGCGTGGCGGCCAGGCAAGTTTGTTTTGAATATATTTTTATATGCGTATTTTAAATTATATTGCTTGCAATTTTGATTTTGATTATTTAAAATATTTGTTGACTAGGTACCTGAACTATTTAAGGTGGGTTCGGCTTGCTCACTCCGTGCACTCCCAGTGACTCCATTCGCACTCCAGCCGTTCGGGTATCGCTTTTTACAGTATTAAGGGTGACTCTATTAGCTCTGTTCACTCCACTCCAACTCCGCGCTGAATAACCGAACCCAGCTTAAGGGCGGGTATTATAAAACTACTTTGAGAGTTAACTTCTGGAATTACATGTAATTCAAAAAGTTAACTTCAAGTTAACTGTCAAAGCAGTTTTATAATACCCGCCCTAAATCGGGCAGAAACGATATTTTTTTGTGTTTTTTGGACCATGTGTGGCTGCCACGCCATCTTAAGTGTCACGTCCAATGTTGCAAGAGCTTTTCGACAACATTCCTCCAACAATTTTGGCTACAGCTTTTAGTTAAATTTAACAATTTGGCAACTATGTTTTTTCAGTTGCAAACGTTTTGAGGTTTCCATAATCTGATGAAAGATGAGTTTGTTTATCGATATTCATTCATAAGTATCGATACGATATTTTTCTTTTTCATGACTATATTAAGCCTAGCACTCATAACCGCGAAATTCGCTTTTTTTGACATTAGTTCTTTTCACGTGGCTCCGGTTTAACTAACCGGGTTACAAAACGGTTAGAGAAATGACATACTATTTTCTAACCCGGTTACAAAGTGACGTGATGGATATCTACCACTCGAATTTGAGCCGAATGTTGCGGTTTGTTAAACCGGAGCCACGTGAAAAGGGTTATTGCTTCGACAATTTGACGTTTTATGTGCGAATTAAACGTCATATTGTCGAAGTAATGTCAAAAAAGAGCGAAATTCACGGTTATGACTGTTATGAGTACTAAGGCTATTAGGCAATCCAATCCATCTGTCAAAACGAAAAATTCAACACGGCTTGGCGGCCAGCAAGTTTTTTTATGCATATTTTTTTCATGCATATTTTAACAATTTTGCTTGCAGCTTTGATTTTGATTATTCAATAAAATATTTTGAAATCAGTCTACTGTTATACACGTGAATAAATTCATTGTTTAATAGCATATTAGAGTAGTTCGAACAGTGACAATAAGAACAGTGCAAACAGAACAAAGTTAGTGCAAATGAAACAGATATTACAGCAATTGGAACACTTAGAACTTGAACAATAGGTAAAGTTGACATGCAATTATTAAGTGGGTTGGGCTTGCTCACTCCGAGTGACTCCATTCGCACTCCAGCCGTTCGGGTTAAGGTTCGGGTATTGCTTTTTACCGTATTAGGGGTGACTCCATTAGCTCTGTTCACTCCACTTCAACTCCGCGCTGAATAGCCGAACCCAGCTATTGCAGATGGAATACTTTAAGTTGAAGAGATCAAAAAGAGTCAGTGTCAAAGTAAAATTAATTGGTAATTTTTCGCGAAGATGATCAAGTGTACTCGAGTATGCTGGGCAATATGTTCGGTTATGTGATGTGTTAATTGTGTCATCGAATTCTGAGCCTGTGGATGACGTCATTATCAGCAGCTTATAGTGATGACGTCACCCGCAGACCTCGATGAAATGCTTACTACTCAGGCTGTGCTGGTAAATTTTTTCGTCGATTTTAAATGTAAGAAAGGTAATTTCTGGTTTATCCTCCGCGAGCTGAAAAATAACACTGTTGGCAGAAACTTATGTGATCTTCGATTTGAAGTTTCGAAACTGATCACGTGATCTTTTAGGATTAATCGAATTCCACTAGTAACAATTAGAGCAATACAAACAGAACAGAGTTAGTGCAAATGAAACAAAAATTAAAGCAGTTGGAACACTTAGAACTCGAACAATAAGAAGATTTCAAATAGAATTATTGCAGATGGAGTACTTCGAGTTGAACAAAAAACGAGTCAGTGCACTTAGAACAGTCAAAGTAGAATTAATAGGCGCGAGGATGATCAAAAGTGCTCTCTTTTCAGAGCTTTGAAGCCCCAGTCTTCGACACCTTGAGTTGTGCAGCTTCGACACCTCGAACCTTAGAAATCGACGACCCTAGGGCTTGACGCCCCGATTAAAAAGAACAGTTTTTTACCTCTCAAAATCTTGATCTAGGGCGCCCAAGCTCTTGAAAAGAAGGCAGCTCAGGTATACTCGAATATGCTGGGCAATATGCTCGGGAGAGTGACAACACTATAAGTAGTTTATAGTGATGACGTCACCCGCAGACCTCGATGGAATGCTTGCAATTCAGGCTGCGCTAGTAAATTAATTTTTTCGTCGATTTTTGGTGCGTACGATTTGTCTGAACCGCTTAGGGTTAGTGCGGTGCAGTTATGTTTTAGAACGTAACCATTGGAAACCATCTAAACTACACCGGGAATATGAAAGGCTAAACGGTACGAATGGTGTAAAAAGTGCGACATTAATGACGAGTCAAAGTAAAAAGTGTCAGTAGTTGGACTTATAAATGCAAATGAATTAGAACAGTTAAAGTAGCTCGAACAGTTGAACAGATCAAAAGGAATCAGTGCATTTGGAACAGTCAGAGTAGAATTACTAAAAACCCGAAATTAATTTTCAAATCAGCCTACTGTTAATAAGTGAATAAAATCATTAAATTATAGTGATGACGTCACCCGCAGACCTCGATGGAATGCTTACTACTCAGGCTGTGCTGGTAAGTTAATTTTTTTCGTCGATTTTAAATGTAGGAAAGGTGATTTTCGAATCATCCTCCGCGAGCTGAAAAATAACACTGTTGGCAGAAACTTATGTGATCTTCGATTTGAAGTTTCGAAACTGATCACGTGATTCTGTCATCTTTTAGGATTAACCGAATTCCACTAGTAACACTCAAAGCAATGCAAACAGAACAGAGTTAGTGCAAATGAAACAGTGGAGTTGTGTAGCTTCGACGCCTCGAACCTCAGAGATAAACATCTCAGCAGGGCTTGACGCCCCGATTAAAAAGAACAGTTTTTTACCTTTCAAAATCGTAATCCAGGGCGTCCTGAGGCGCCCTAGTTCCTGAAAAGAAAGCAGCTCAAGTATACTCGAATATGCTGGGCAATATGCTCGATTATGTGATGTGTCAATTGTGTCATAATCCTCTAATTCCCTCACTATCAGCAGCTTACAGTGATGACGTCACCCGCAGACCTCGATAGAATGCTTGCGATTCACGCTGTGCTGGTAAGTTAATTTTTTCGTCGATTTTAAATGTAGGAAAGGTGATTTTTAATCTGTTCTAGTTCTCACAGAAGAAATTAAGTGTTCTTGTTCTTGATCCTCGAGTATCCCTGAATTTGATAGTGGAGGAATTAGGGTAGTATGACAGAATTGATACATCACATAATACTGCATAATCGATTCCTGCTTGACTATCCTCGCGACAAATTGCCCAATTTTTCGTGGGTTACGTCATCACTATAAGCTGCTGGTAGTGACGTCACTCGCAGGCCCAAAATTTGATTGGGAGGAAGTTAGGGGTGTATGACACAATTTACACATCACATAACCCAAATCAGCTTTGATTATCTTCGCAAAAAATTGCCTAACCTTGATCCAGACCACAAATCAGGCGGCTGACATTGGAGGTAAAATACTTTACAAATTTGTTTATATTAATATGGAAATTTGAAATTTCCTGTTAATGATTCAAAAAATTTTGAAATTTCACCGTCTAGCCCTCCTTCAAAAAAATGGTTTTTAATTAGGCAATAGCTGACGTCACACACATAACCTCACAATGACATTTTTGTCCCCCTATCTAAAATCGCGTTATGTGATTTTTGACACAATAGCTATCGCCTGCGTGTATAAATAGACTTTCAAACGCTTTGTTTGTCCCCCCATCGAAAGTCGAAAGTGAGGTTGTGTGTGACGTCAGCTAGTGCCTCTAATTGAAATATAATTCAGCTCTTAGGATAGTACAGTGTAGACCAGGTTTAAAATGCCCTTCCGCTTATAAAACTTAGAGCTAATGAAAAAATATACAGTTCGTTTCACGAGGGTTTATACTTTTGACATCGAAGACGTCATAACTTGAAAAAAATTATGTCAAAAGTATAAACCATCGTGAAACAAAGTGTACATTTAAATCAAACCTTAAACGGCAAATACATCTAAAAAAACTAAAGTATGATACTCCAACTCCATGTAAACATATGGGAAAAGTTTGGAATGTTTTACTTCCAGTGTTAATTTGTGACGTCACGTGCACGAATTCAATTGTCAAGCATCTCTGCATCTGGGATGTTTTGGTGTTAGTACTGCATTTTTGCTTCATGAAGATTGGTGTTCTCTTGTCCCATATATGTATAAGCTTAGAAATAGGAGATAGCTCCTAGCAGCTCTTTATTTTTGAAATAGGTAGAACAAGTACCCTATTTGTATTGTTAACCCAAGAAAATTTAAACGAAATAGGATTACTCATTGAGCTGAAAGTGTCTGCCATGTCCACGCGCCAACTTCCCACTATTAGTGACGTCAGCCGCAGACCTCAAATTTTAGCATAAAATGCATTATCCGAGTCTAAAACAATGTAGGTAAAAAAAAACCCAATAAAATCACATTTTCTACATTCAGAATCGGCAGGCACAGCCGCACAAGCAGTCTATCGAGTTCTGCGGATGTCGTCACTACTATAAGCTGCTGGTAGTGGTGACGTCACCCATAGACCAGCTGTTGTCTTGTGAACGGGTGAACGTACACTTATCAGGTTAAGCAATCCTCGTTGAAGGAGTGTTGTTCGTGTCGGTCATGAATACTGTTTTGAAGTTTTGATGAATCTGTCACTTGGTTCACACAATCTAATTCCTTTTAGCCTTGTTTTTAATCAGAAACCCGGACCGAAATGATAGAACCGAAAACCGGAACGGAACCGTTTTTTTTTTCCGGATCAGAACCGGAACGAAACCTATATTGCGCCAGCTTCCTCCGAGAGCTGCGCTCCTTATTCAGAGCGCTCAGGCCTGTCCCGGCCTCGAGACACACTTCACAACGCCCAAGACTTAAATACATGTGAGTTTGTTTTCAGGCACGTCGAGAGCATCAACTCACTTGGAACGTACCATTTATCGAGGACTGCGAGTGACGTCACTTGCAGACCTGTTGTCGATTCGAGAACTGGGAAACGTACGCTTATTAGATTGAGCAATCCTAGTTGCTGTGTTCTTGTGAGTGGACGTCATTTTATCCATTTAAATTCCATTTCGTTACGCTACTGGATGAGATCCCTGGTACGTGCCTGTCATAATTTCAAAACAAAATCGTCGAAAAAGATGACCGACTGTTAGAATTTGACATCATTCAACAACGCCATGTTGAAAAATATCGTGACGGATTTTCGTCTCGCTAGATCGTGTGTGACGACCTTGAGATTTTACTCCCATCGCGCGGCAAGAAGTTATATATATACGCTCTTAATACACAAATGAAAAATTAACTCACAAGAGTCACAAGCACAGCCTATGATCGCAAGCAATCCATCGAAAACTGCGGGTGACGTCACCACAATCAACATTTGCTGCTAATCGTGGTGACGTCACTTGCAGACCTGTTGCCGACCGCATTTACAGATTGAATAAAACAACACCCAGATTATATAGGAATATATTTTCAATAATAATTTTCAACAAAATAGTTTCAAAAAACAAAAAGTAACAAATGTGTATAAGACCTAACATAATAATAAAGTGTAAAAAAAAAAAATTGAAAATAATTTAAAACAAAAAAATACTATACCGTGTTTAAATATTAATATCTTAATAAAGCTTCTCTTTAGGGCCAAATTATGGACCGACTGATAAGTGTCAGGTACTTTCCATGCTCTAGAGAATAGAAAGTACCTGCTAGGTAACAACCTGACACTTATCAGTCAATCCATAATTTGGCTCTTACAGGGGCAATTTTCATTTCAATGGAAGCCAAATAATCAATTGCCCTTTGTAATCAGAACAGAAAAAAACATGATAAAATAGCTCTGTTTCAACTGACATGAGAACCAGTAATTTTCCATTATGGCCACCAGCTCCCCTATCCTATTTTTCAATAAGTTGAAAAATGAATGGAAATTATCGTTCTAGAACAATTGGAACAGAGCTAATATTTTATGTACAACAAAATAAAAATTTGTTCATCAATTGGCTATCAAAAAATTAGGCTGGCCAAATTACATATACCAGGGAATGATTCGATGTGATTTCTATTTCCAAATAAAATTTGAAAACTCTTGTCCCGAATCTACTCTTTAACAGTCTCAGTGATTTGGTTGACTGTCATTAATCAATCGAACTTGGTCCATTGCCCTTGCACATTGACCCTATTACTCGAACTGAAACTTTCGAATTTACTCTGATCTGAACCCTGCGGTGCAGTTCCGAAATTGAAATGCAGCCCGTAGTCCTGCAACAAATCCTGATCTTGCCTACTAAAGCTGTTCACTCCATTAGAACGAATCTCGTGGTTCTCATAAGACGAATTGTATAGAGGATTCGAGATGCTTAAGGGAGGCTCATGAGTTGGAGTAGAATACGAAGAATTCGACGATGGTGTTTTCAATGGGTCAAAATCGTCCAAATCTGACGTGGAATCTAAACGGATCAAATCTTCGGTTTCGTCATTTTGCTGTTGGAATTCAAATATTATTTATATGGATTGAATTTTCGTGAAAAACTCATGACGTCATATTGAATTTAGTTCGCTGGAAGCATGGACGCAGCTTCTAACTAGCGTTCAAACTCATGACGTCACAAATTCGGTTTATATTACCTTTCGTCTGCCAGGCGAAGCCTGTACAGGTGGCGTCAGCTTAACAACATCTACCATATTTCTGTTGGAAACGAAAAAAAGCGGATCTCCGTTTTCGTTGTGCCCGCCCCCAACAACGAACGGTTTCGAGTTGGCGAAAAAGTCGTGCGATTGTCTGCGAGGCGGTACGTGAGGCGGCGACATGAAAGCGTCCCCTAGCGGTGACTGAAGCAACGTTTGGGTGTCTCGGTACGTGTGCGAGGGAAATAGGACGCTGGAATGTGGTAGGGAGGGTCGGGGTGTGGGCCAGCGTTCCGGACTAGTCGGGGAACTGAGGGGGTTTTTGTTGAAGTTTTCTAAACTGCGTACCGGCTTCAACTGCAACAATATTGATAGAGGAATTATAAAAACCTGCAATGAGACATAGATAATATATGCGTTTCAAAAATAAACAAACAAATCTTAAGCCTCCCACCATACCAAAGCACCAGTGATGACGTAGGCAGCGTGTCGTTTTTCGTCTTGACGTAGGGCGTTACCTCTGCAAGTTATGATTCCGCGGGCTTTTGCATGGAATGCAAGAAGCAATTAAGGGAGAGAAAACGTCAAGTTCTATGTATGTCACAATGGGGCCGTGGCTTTAGATTTAGATTAGAAAGCCGTGAAACAGAGAATTTTTGTTTATGTACGAAAAATACACGCAAGCCAATCAAAATACACGCAAATCGTGTAATTACACGCTTATTGGCAACACTATAGGTGTCTCTCTCTCTTGCTTGTACAATACTTCCTAAACTATTTGCCTTTCAAGCAAATGAGACTTTGGACTTGACGCATGAGTGGGGGTTAAAGACTCCACCACCTGTAAGTTTTTTATATATGATCAAAAATGAAAAAGTTACAGGTGGTGGTGCTTTATAACTTGACACCCTGTACATTTTTGCATTAAACCAGTGACGTCACATTGAACCTGGTTTAAAAAAATTCGAACCGGACTCGTGACCTTCCATTTTCTCACGTTCACAAGTGATGACGTCATTGACAAATTGGTTGTAAACCGTAGTAGGAACCATCCGCCCCGCGAGAAAACATTTATTTTACTAATAAGCGGCCATTTTTAATTGATTTTTATTATTTTGTGGCCCCAAATCGCGATTCAATTGATTTAAGTTGGAAACAACCATGAGGCGTTTGTTAACATTCACCAGGACAATTTTATTGATAAATGAGCCATTTGCCAACATTCACCATGGATATATTATTACTAAATGAGGCATTTGTCAATATACACCGTGAAAATTTGATTTCAAGAGGCGTTTGTTAACATTCACCAGGACAATTTTAATGATAAATGAGCCATTTGTCAAAATTCACCATGAATAAGGCATTTGTAAACATACACTATGAAAATTTGATTTCATGAGGCGTTTTGGGGTAGCAAAGCAAAACAGTAAACTATAAACAAGTGCCCCCCCTAACATAAAACCGTGACGTCATCACTGTATACATATAAAAACGAAAATTCCTTACCGACCGATCCACGGCAGGATTCCCATCGGCCAGCCTCAACTTCAACAAATCCTGCATTTCATTCATCAAATCAATTCTGGGAAAATCAATGGGGCTACCGCTCCGGGGCGAATCCAACATATCCGGAGTCAAAGGTTGGGACCCGGGACTCAAAGGGCTGTAAGACCTTTGCAAGTTGGCGCTTTTTATTGCTAGCGAGGCATCTTTTTTGTAGGTGGCTACCGGCACCGTAAAACCGCTCAGGATTTTCCGTTTTCCTGTAGGCGAATTCGGAGCTGATCTCGGTTTGGTGTTGTGCGGTTGATCTTGATTCATTTGGCCTTCTTTGAGTTTTGATCTCAGGCCTTTGTAGGCGCTTTTCATACCTTTACCGCCATCTTTTACCTGCAATAATTTTCATTCAGAAAAATTACATTAACTAAAAATCACTTAACAGTTTTAACTGCAGATTTCATAGCCGGATTTGCCTTATCCTTGACGCTCTTGAAAAATGCTGTGCCCTCTTTTCTCATAGTTGAGGCCCACTCTTTGTATTGCTGTTTCAACTTGGAGCCAGATTTTGCTGAATAATTTTCAAGCTCAAACTCGAATTCATCTGAAAACCCTCTGCCAGTGTTAAGCATTGTAAGTCTTTCTTCTATAAACTAAAAAAAAACCCGATTCAATAATCAACCTTATACTATACAAATATATTACTTGTTGAAAAATCTGCAAATTCAACATTTCTCTTAAAAAAGGCTGTAGATTTACAGGCCTTGTCTCGATAAACCGACCAGAATCAAAGGTAACTTTTTGTCCAGGGGTGAATTTCAACGCATCCCTGTAACCGCCGATTAACTGAACCAAGGCCCTCAAAAAGGCTCTCGATACCCCATCCCCCAAAACCGCAGATTTGTTTCGTAGTTGTTTCCTTAAGGCTGCAATTACATCTTGCGGCAAACTATTCAAATCGTCAAATGGTGTATGGACTTTGTTGTTGTCCGCATCCAAAATGACAACGTCTCCTATTTCGTTTTGGGATACTGTCTATGGAAATAATTGATTTATTATTAGGATTAGTTAAATTCTATCTAACCTAATGACTAACACAGATAAATAGATAGACGAAACTGTAAATATTCTAAACAATAATAGGTTGAATTATATACAATGATGCATTATGTTTGTACATTAGTGCGTGTAACGATGATACATAGACTATTTTCTAGGTCATTAAGTAAAAGAATGAAGTACGTCGTTATTGTCTGAGATTTGTTTTGGTACGATGATGAATTCGTGCTTTCTTTCATCGTCGAATGAAATCTTTCAATCGGCATGTTTGAATTTGGATTGTACGGTGCATGTAGTAAAATGCAATTCAATCTTATACGTTTTACATAGGTCTTGTATTAGATTTATCTTGAAAGTTTGTGCATTATCAGTGGTAATTTTACTCGGTGTACTATGATGTGCAAAGGGTTTTATTAAACTTTGACAAATCTCCATCGATGTTTCATTCACCAGGTATGCTGCAGCAAATTTGGAAAAATTGTCTATTATCGTTAAATATTGAGATACTGTGCAATGAGTATCATCATTATTAACCAGCTCTCTACGTCTACTGTTGAATATAGGCCTCCCTAATCATTTTCCATTATAATCGATTTTGTGCTGTTTGTGTCGTTGCCGCGGGTTCTCTTAAAATATCGTCCGACCCAGTGGCGGCTCATCAGAGGAGGCAGGGGAAGCTAAGCCTCCCCCAAAAAATTGAAAATTCAATCTCAGTTTTTTATTCCTGATGCCTAATTAAAATAATAATTCACAAATTACACTTTACAAATTTTGATATTTCCGGCCCGAAGGGCCGGAGTTATACGCGAGCCCGAAGGGCCGGAGTTATACGCAAGCCCGAAGGACCGGAGTTATACGCAAGCCCGAATGGCCGGAGTTATACATCGACTCAAATGGCAACGTCGCGTATGCAGGTGATTATCTGTTTATTTTTGCTCGGTCTAAAAATCTCGAAATAAGTTATAAGATAACGTAATAATATAACAAAAAGTGGTGCATTGCTTAGTTACGAGCTGTGTAATACTTGCAGTATATGAAAATAGTGTTTCACAACACGGGGGACTCCAAGTTATTGCCGGTTCAAGGTTCAAGGCCGGTTCCCAGGAATTTGTTATCGTCAGTAGCTGGAAAAGGACTGGCGGCTAAACATAGGACTGCGATCCAACGTTGCCAAATTGATTTCGATGCTAGGCGCGTGCCCGCCCACCTCATTGAGCCAAGTTTGGCTGTCTCTGTCAGTCTGTCTTCTTCATTGATCTCTTTGGTGCAAATAAACAAACAAAGCTAGTAGTATTGTATATTGTATTCAGTAGCTCGCTTATTGCTTGTATTTTTGATTTGTGTACGATTTGTTTCTATTTTTTTTTGAGAGCGTGAATACGAATGAATAGTATTTCAAAATGGGTGTGTTTTGCTTTGGATGCGATATAGTTATTTTCCTAACAAGTGCGCAAAGTGTTACTTTTCGTATCCGAACTCCGCTTCGCGTCGTTCGTATAACTGTGTTTGCGTGCGGAAAAGACACTTTGCGCACGTGTTAGGAACAAAATTTTTCCTACGAGCTTCATATCAGGTAGGTAATAACAAAAATTAAAAAAAAAAACGATAATTTGTTTAATTATTTTTAATTAACTTGAAGGAAACCTATGCATTTATCAAAAAATTACATAACAAAAAAAAAAATAACAGAAAATCCTCGTCAGAGCTGTTCATCTTAAAGCGTTTAAATTTGATGAGAAAGTTTGTAGATTTTTGCATATAAATAGAGAACAAATCTGACAATGTGTCAAGAGTTAATTCATAATTGGTGTTTGTATAGATGTTGGCTGATATAGAAACGGAGGAAAAATTTGTCATCATGTGTCAAAGTCGACAGGTGCACTTATTGTTGCTTGACAATTATAATTACTTTTCGGCACTCAGTGCGGATGAGGCCTGTATCCGCACTGAGTGCGGAAAAGTGTAACTTTGAGCCTGGAAATGCGTGCGGAAAAGTACTACTTTGCGCACGCTCGTAGGAAAAAGTATTTTCGACTCAAAGTAATTATAATCAACATCGACGTGAAGTTCATGGACTTTAATGATAATAATAATAAAATGACATTATTATGGATCTCATTTGTAGTGTCAAAATGACATAATTTATTGGATTGAGTACTTTAATTTAATGCGATTTCATTAGAGTACTAAGTAGTATAATGAGATCCCATTATAAGTACTATAATGAGAAAAAAATATAGGTAGGTTTAGTAGGCAAAAATATGAAAAATTTATTGAAGACAACATTTAACGATTAAAATAATTTACAATTTCTGGAATATAAAATATTGTATGAAATTTGGATCATAAACAATCATTATGGCACACGCCGTGTTATCATCAGACTCGGCTGACGCCTTGTCTGATAATATTCACGGCTAATACCATAATGATCGTGATTATGATCCTTATAACATAAATATCTATAATAGGATTAATTTATTACCCACTAATCATGCGAGACTTTATTTGTTGTATAACAGAAATTAACCTTTAATTATTATTGTAACATTATCCGCAATATAAATCTATTTTAAATTTGGCGCTTTATGAAAGAAGGATTTGGCAACATTGGATCGCGATCCTATGTCTAGCCGCCAGTGGAAAAGGTAACAGTGTTGCCAAGAGGCGCGGCTTGTATTTCTCGGAACCTAAAGGGGGTTTTACATGCTGCAAGAGTACCAGCAAGTCGGTGCAAGTTGCAAGAACTCTTGCAAAAGGCATGCGCAGTTGCAACCCAGCTGATGACAAGTCGCAAGACTTCTTGCAATTGCAACTTATCAGTTCTGTTCGATATTTCTGCAAGTGCAAGACTCTGCAAGACTATTTTTGGGGGAAAATTTGGTAATTTTTGGCATGCCAACTTCCAATAAAAGTTACTACTTTTGAAATTATGTTTATATTTTATAGATTAATAAGGATAGATTAGGTATACCTACTTATATCAGAGCCGTGTTTGAATCAACTATCAACTTAAAATACAAATAAATCTAAGTAGAGATCATTTATTTATTTAATTATACACTGAAAATAATCTACTTTTATAGGTAGATAGATACCTCGGTAGGTACCTAGGTTTCATAAGAAACAATAATGATATTAGGTAGGCACCAATGACATTATCTGTTTGAATCAATTTTAATTTTCAATATGCAGGTAGAGATATTTTATTTTATTATACTGAGAATCATCAACACGTAGGTATCGACGTATCGTAGGCAAATACAATGGTTTCTTGTAACATAGTGGAGGCACCAATAATGATGCAAAGACTAGCAGCAATAACCTTTTTTCTATTTCTACTATTAATTTTTGAGATACAATACGATTCATTTTTTACATACTACAAAAGTAATAGTAAACAAGTACCAACTACCAACACCAACAAGAATAGGTATTGAAAAGTAAGGTTCTGTTTTCCTATAATTTTTTTTTCTTTATGTTGGCAGAAGAAAGCAATTAAAAGATTTCAAAACACATGTAAAACCAAACCGCAAGACGGCGCAAGAAATCTTACAGAAAGAGTCTTGCGGGTACTTGCACTTGCACCGTCTAACTGCAAGATTTATTGCAGCATGTAAAACCCCCTTAAGATGAATCGATATACGGCAAACTGTGGCGAATGTGATGCAAGGGTTACAAAACAGCGCCCAAATATGCAGTGTGTGGAGTGTAACAGGTGGTATCACTCTATGCGGTGTACAAATTTGAGTGAGATCGAGGAGAGACTTATGCTTGATCAAAAAAAGCCTTGGTCATGTAGAAAATGCAGAAGGCTTACTATGCATGAGCTGTCAGTTGCTCAAAGTACAAATAAAGAGCCCTGTGGATCCCAAAACTGGCGTAAGTCTATCTCTCCAGGACCAAAGGACATTGACTCAATTTATTCACTCCTTATCGAGTTAAAAGGGGAAGTAGGACAGCTGTCCAATAATATTACTGAAGTAAAAACATCCCTTGAGTTTTTGAACGGTATGTATGAAGAACAGCGTCAGTGGAACAAAGTAATGGGAGAGATGATTGAGGAGACCAAAAATGAAAACAAAAAATTAAGGGATGAACTATCTTTAGTTCAGACAAAACTTGCAGAAATGGAAGCTGAAAAAGTAAGTAACAAACTTATTATTAATGGGGTCTTTGAGATTGGGGATACGGAAGAGACCTTGCTGGAGAGATCAATCAAGGTGTTGAAACATATTGATGACTCTATTGTAAAACAAAACATAGTTAATGTTAAAACCATACATGTCAAGCAAAAGCCACCAATGGCTTCGGTCTCTTTCGATAATCCTGAGTATGTAAAAAAAATTATGCAAAAACGTCGTAAATTTAGAAACTTAAATACCCGGGCTTGTGGAATTTTTGATTCAAGCAAGCCTATCTATATAAACGAGTACTTGCCAGAACTTACATACAAATTGTTAAAAGAGGCGAAAAAATGCAAAAAAAAGGGGATATAAGTATGTGTGGTGCCAAAATGGTTCAGTTTTATTAAGGAAAAATGATGGAGATAGGATTGTAAAAGTACGCAATTCCTTCCACTTGCAGAACATCCTTAAAGTCCCTGGGGATAATTAATATAAAAATTTAATTGAGTGTCAAAACTTGCGCAATAACTCCTAAAATCAAAATGGAGCATAACGAACTGATTGACTCTTTTCGTGCGTCACAAACTAAAATATGTGATAATGTGGGTGAAGTGAGCGTAATTGTGAGGGATTTCAATAGTGCCCTCAACATCATACATGTAAACATATGACAGGAAGCCTCAAACGAGTTTCATAGTCTAAACACAATTAAACTAATAAAGACAGATGATGGTCAACCTGTCTCTACAAGTATGGGGATCGCTAATGAATTTAATACTTTTTTTAGCACGATTGGTGCCAAACTTGCTAGGGAAATTCACCCAACTCCCCAAACCTATGACACTCTAT